TTTTTTTTTTTTTTCTTTTTTTCACGAAGTATATCAAATCCAATGTACCACGTATTTTTAAAACGAAATTCGAATTCAATTTTTAATTAACCGCAAAAATTTGAAAATTTTATCATAAAATATCCTTTATTAATAAATTTCATCGTCACATTTTTTTGTAAATCTATTTTTCTCGTTTTTATCGTGCATCCAATAATCCGATATTCCCGAAATGTCTAGTATTATCAGAATTCTATTTACATCGAAAGAAAAAAAAAATATAAATACAAATAAAGAAAAAAAATAACAACCGGTTGAATATTTTTAAAATATAAAAAATATCGAAAAAAACGTGACATCAAATCACTTGGCCCATTATCGATTGGAATTTTGAAAAATCTGAATTTTTTTTCTACGTACTCTGAAATGCAAAGTATCAAAAAAAAAAAAAAAAAAAAAAAATCCAAATCCAAATTAAATACAAAACAAGGTGAGGCAAATTGCGATTTGATTGAATTTTGAAGGATGACAAAAATCGAAAGAAATGAAAACTTACCTCGTAGAACGTAGTCCCTACTTGGCTTCTCGATTGTCAAGTTGCCACGCGATACTAACCCCCTTTTACACAGGGGGGGTGGATAGACATTGCACGGTACAATTTGCGGGTAAATTGAAAATTTGCACCGAAGCACAAGTTACAGTTACATAACCGAAGGATTTGGGAAGTTAAAGATTGGGGAAGGTTGGTAATCTTAAACCTAGAGACGACGAAACCCCCTCTTGTAGCAAGCAACGCTCTTGTAAACGAGAAGTTTGCAACTGGATTCGACACCGTTAGACTGTGTGGCTTTAAACTTTCACGGTAATTCCACTTTTGTCTCTTTTTTCTTCTCTATGAGTTTTTTCTTTTTTCTCTCTCTCTCTCTCTCTCTCTCTTTTTTTTAAACATCGTGAGCGATCAAACTACACCGTGAGTTTTTCGAAAAAAATAAATAATAGTTGGGGATAAATAAATGCAAACGAGTGACGAGAAATGCAAATGGTGCAATTTAAATCTGAGAAGTTTTATCATAGCTATATACCAGTTTCCATCCATTCTGCATTTATAATATATACACATATATATGGGGTTTGATCTAAAGTTTGCTAACTTGTGAATAATTAAAATATTAATAATAAATAATAAATATGCATGGTTAGATTCGAAATAGAATATTCTGAAAGTATTGTCGTGATAAGAAAATACGACTGTCGACGAGAGTATACGACTTTGAGGAGGGAAATGTGATGGCTTTTTGTTGATAAGTTGCCTCGTTCATGATTTCATAACAAAGATATCTCGCGGCGAATGATGTAATATATAGTTTCGTTTAATCAATTATTTAAACAAAGAAATTTCTACAAAATTGAATATATTTGTTATTATATTTGTTATTAATAATAATATTAATTCTTAATATAATAATATTCGTTCTTATTCAAGAAATAAGTACTTTTTTATAAGCTAGATATCGGTTTATTAAATTTCATTATTTCAAAAAGAAATTTTTTCTCTTCAAATCCATTATATATATATATCCCACAAGTACATAGACTTTTATCAAAATTAGAATTTTCAAGTTAAGAAATTTTTCTTGTTAGCATGAAATATCGTTCCAATATTTTCCTCTAGATCGCTATAAAAATAGAACGAATAAATCTGCATTAAAGCAAGATGGAAAAACTCGTCCACCATTTTATTCTTCCCTAACGAATTCGCGTTTAAGAGTCCATTAGCGTAACAGGAACGACGAACTTTATATCGTTTGTCCCGTGCCAAGCGGAATTAATTAGTGTGTATTCAAATTGGAGATCGAAAATTTTTTTCTCTAAAAGTAAAGTAAATATTTTCACTTACTGGAATTATTTTCCTCGAGGCGAGAGACTTCCTCTTTACTTTTCTTTTTTTTGCCTTTGTTGCTCATCAAGGTAACTGAAAAAAAAAAAATGGAAACGAGAAGGAAGAGCATTATTTATTGTCCACTTTCTCTCGAAAGGTAAACGAACAATGCGTTTTAACGTTTAGAAAATCTAAATTATTACATCGATAGTGCGCGATGAACTCGATTATAAATCTTAGGTTATGCAACGAATTCGTTCTTTATATGTAAGAATATTAGATACTGAGCATTTTATATAAGATGTCTCAAAAATAGATCCTCAAAGGTTGGAATGAAAAAATGTTTTTCGAGATATAAATTTCTTCATTTTTACATAAATTGAACGTGATTAAAAAAGTTAATGCAATTAAAGTTGTAAACAAAACTTATAAACAAAAAGTTATTAATATTAGTAGATATGCGGAATGTCTATTTTATTTATTACAGTGAAATATTTTTTTAGGAATTTTTAAAACTTTATAATATCTATTGTAAAATCTAGATGAAAATATATACAATAACGTATATTAAAAAACATATTTTTAATATCACTAAATTACATATGATTTTAATGACACGATTTATAACATCGTATTCTTTCAAATTATTCGATCATTCATCTTGAAAAATATTATTATGGAATAATAGAAGAATTGTTAGTAAAAGTTAGTCGTGAATTATAACAAGCAATGAAATGTTGCGGGGAAAAAAAGGAAGAATGCATAGAAGATATATGTCGTGAAAAATCTTCCGCTATTCTCTTATGATTTAAAAGCGTTTCAGCAATAGCTGCCATTAATTTCACGTTTTAATATGCGTTTTAATACTTCGCCTTACTTTCTCGGTATAATTTTGAAACATATGTACGAAAAAAAACATTATTCCGTTAAAATAACCAGAGAGAGAAGGACAGAGAAAAAAAAAAGATTCGAATTTCGTTGCAATTATTTCTTTTAAAATCATCTAACAAGTTCTTCAGTTTTTCGCTCAACTTTGCGCATTACAATACTGTTCCTGCCTGTTTTTTCAGAGGGATCGGTGGCGCGATGTTATTTCTAATGCTGTGTGCTGCCATCTACGAGTACAAAACGATGCCAAGCGACAAGGATGCGGAGTCGTTAAGCGTGTCGAATAACAACGAGAGACTGAGTAATTTTTCGAATAAGAATTTGAATCAGGATCACGGAGTGGTTCAAGAAAATGGGGAGGAGTTGATCGAGAAAGGGAAAAACTTGCAAAAAGATTTGCCTGACCACTCGAAAAAGAACAAAAAGGGTAGAATACGAGGATGATTTATTATCCGTTCTGTTGCAATCTTTTCTTTCTTTCATGCGATTTTTCTTCGCGTTCCAGGCTTCTGGATAACGTGTCTGACAGCGTTTAATCCTATAAGGAACGGGAGCAAGATTATTAGCACCGAACCTGCCGCAAGAGATAGTCTGACTTGTTTGCACGGATTACGAGTGTTTTCATTGGGATGGGTGGTCATGGTGCATACCTATCTTCAAGTTTTTTCCATCGCTGGTAAAGTTGTTGCCCTTTCGAGAGGCAACGTCACGATGATTGTATGAAATCCTGTTTACGTTTAAGTTACGATTATTTTAGAACTCGGATCTACTATGGTTACGAGTAAATTGCGGACGTTTAAGTAAATGTATATTTTCATATGCAAATATGAGATACGTGAAATAATATGCTTTGCATATATTCCATGTTGCACAGAATATTAATATATTCGTATAAGATAGCTTTGAAATATTCTAGAGTCTAAGGCAAACATAAAATATGAGAATGATGAAGAAAAAAAAAAAGAGACAGGTTTACTTTACTTTCTGTCTTACTTTATCTAATATGCTAATATTGTTTTTATATTTTGTTATTAGATGAATTGTCAATCTGTTGACAATTTTCTTATCATTTAGAAAAATTGTTATTAAATTATCATTTTTATTATTCGTTTGTTATTCTTTATTTTATTTAAATTTTGAAAATGAATAAAATTATAACTGTTTAGAATATTGAATCTTCTTTCTATTGGATTAATTAAATTAAATTTCTAACGATTATATTAATAAGATTGTGTATATATATCTTTCTTTTAATTTAATTTGCAGAGAACAAAACGCTGCGTACAGTGACAGAGCGAAATTTTATGTTCCAAACAATTAGCAATGCCACCTTCTCCGTAGATACATTCTTCTTCATTAGGTAAGGCGTAGACAATGATAAGAATCCTCGTTTCGCAATTAAGGAAATGAAGAATAGAACTTTTTGTTGATTTTGAACAAAAATTCTCCCTCTATAAATTTTATTGAAAATAATTTTCTTAAATCATTATTCTCATTGATTTTTGTTCAGAAATCTAACAAATAAATATATATTGTATTAAAAATAATTTTTAACTAGAAAGACTAGATTAAATTACTATTTCATCAAACGTTCATTTTGAAATATTAATAAATTCTATACAATATATTTAAACAAATTTCTTTCACTCTTCTTCAAATTCTCACAAATATAACTATTTCAGCGGATTGCTAGTTACGATTCTCTTCTATCGATCTTCGGGAAGCTTGAAAACCAACGAGGACAAATTTTGGAGGACATGCTTCACCAAATTTGTCATCATGATCCTCTACAGATTTATCAGGTAAAAAAAGCTTGAAAATCTTGAAAAGAAGAAAAATTTCCTTCTTCTCGACGAACGGGAAACGGTTCCATCGATGCCCGATTGATTAAGTCGAGCATAAAGACTTCGAATAAAGAAAAGAAAAAAAAAAAAAAAAAAAAAAAATAAACGATCCCGGCCAAAGTGACGTACACACTGACCTCGTTTCGATTCACTTTTATCAAGATTGACACCGGCCTACCTCTTTGTCCTGGGGATAAACGAGATTGTCATGAAGCACAGGGTGCCAAGGTCAGTATTCACGCCAGCGGCCATCGACCACTTCACGTGCGAGAAATTCTGGTGGAGGAACGCCTTGTATCTGAACTCGCTTTACCCTCGAAGCGAAATGGTAAGGATTTTAAAAGTTAACGTTTCAACTTTTATGATATTAAGTGTTCTAAATTGGGTTGTGAGAGATAATCGATCCCTTTGCTGATAAGCAAAAGTTTTTAATAGAAATTCTTATGATTCAATTGTGTTTGAAAATCTTTTTGAGGATAACGAATTTTTAAATTTAATTTTATTACTGGCTATTTGAATATTAATATAAGGATTAAAGTTAGCATTGATTTATAAACTTTTTTTTGGTTTTGAATAATTTACAGTTTATATTGTCTTGTTTATTATTTATAAAGATATAATAACTTTTTATAATTTGTAGATTTTTGGAAATATGATTTATAGACATTTAGATTATCGTCCTTGGTTTTATTATTACATTTTCTTTGATACTTTTTCTATCTCTTATCTTAACTGATATAATATTCCATTTGTCACATTAGTTCTCCACTATCATCTTCACTCGCTTTTAACCCCTACTTTAACTTATCTCTGCCCTGTATTTTATTAATCCTGATAATGACACCCTGTTATATTTTTTATTACCCTATACCACACTAAGATACTCATTTTCGTTAATATAAAATTTAATAATTCTCTAATTATATCTAAAAATAGATATTTCAAAGTATAATAAAATTTTTCAGACAATTTTTTACACAATGTAAAAACATACTATTGCACGATATTTAAATTATTAAATTCATCCAAGTTACTTTTGCTTAAACATCTAATTAATTAGTTAAAAAGCAACTTCTTTCGTTCATCCATTTATCATCATTTAAGAAAGAAAAAAAAAAAGAAGGAAAGAAAAATAAACTCGATGAGTTTAATTTGTTAATCGATATTCCACGATGAAACGTAATTTGAACGTAAAAGTAGTCGAGTCGAGGAATAATGAAACAGAGGAGGGAAAAGATACAGCAACTGTATCTTTTTCTTTTATCTTAGAACTACGATTCGGTGGAGATTATGAGACAGGGAAGGTGTCAACATCTCGATCGTTTTCCGATAATTAATTCTACCACGTCCCAAGAAAGTTTCAAAGTGGTGGAACACAACGTAAAGTGTCTAACATCGCCCTAAAACCAATTTCGTCGCCGATAAAAGGAGCCACTTAATTATTGATTAAGTTATTGTATCACGTTTAAACATTCCTCGTATTTCCTTAAATAATTTTCATCATCCTTTTTGGAACATAAAATATTTAGTATATTCAATATATAGATTTATATACTGATCATACTTAAAATAAATAATAAATCTTAACCATCTTAACTCTTAATAAAAATATAAAAAATATAATCGAAGTTCAATCGTGATCTCGATTTCGAAGGAAAAATGTATCGATAATAATTAAAAAAAAATATCGAGTAAATTCGAAAAACTTTTCGATTTCGTGGAATTCTTAATAAAAAGCATTGTTCGGAAGAATCACCCCGACGTATGAAACGTTGAATTTCCGTTCAATTAAATGTTTTTCATTTCGCAATAAACAAGTGAAAACTTTGTTTCATCCTTCTCTCATCGTTCTCAAGTATACACGTGCGCTGTACACAACGTTATCAACAAGGGTTCCGCTTGATTAAACCATCCGCTGGATTGACGTTTGATCCATTAGCCTCACAGCGTTTCCCCCGCGTTATATAGATTTTCCCCTAGCCAAGTATTTTCCAATATATTCTAACGCGAGGATCGACTCCTTCAACTTTTCGATTCGCAATTATCCCACGAATACTTGATTAACAACTTTCCAGTGTATGTTGTGGAGCTGGTACATGGCAAACGATACGCAGTTCTACGTTCTTGGAATACTTTTGTTGCTCCTGTCTATCAGATACTTGAAGACCGTAATAGTGGCGATTCTACTACTCGTCGTCTCTTCGTGGTTCACCACCTTCTCCATGGCTTATTCCAACGATTACATAGCCAGGTAATTAACGAAATGGTTGTTGATTTAATGGATATAAGAGGTAAATTTTAATTGATCAATAAACGAGAATTATTAAACTGATTGTTGTTTTGAACAACACGAATAAAAATTTATCGAAATTGTTGAAATTATTCTTATAAAGTAGAATCATTGTTTTGGTAAAGATTTTTATAGATGTGTATATTTTAAAGTATTATTTCTTGATTTTCGTGCAGATTAAACAAAAAATGGATTCTAGAATATAATGATATATATAATTGATCCAGAAATTGTGAATAATTTTGATTATAGAATAAACATTCGTAACTTCGTCTATTTATCAATTTCCAACAATTTCGTTGAAAAAGCGATTCAAACTTTTCAAAACTTCTCATTATGATTAAATATCAGATTTCTTGTTTAGCAAACTTTGTAACTGTAATATTTTATCACGATTTAAGCGAGCAAGATAAATGATCGATTTAATATATCGATGATGACTTGAAAATTTCTGAACGAATTATATTACCTATTTCTTTTTATTATTTGTAAAAAAAAATTATTATTATATTCCATTCCTCCGTGTTCAACTCGTTTCTTTATTAAATCGTTAAAAGATGGAGGAAATTCCAATCACGTTATAAAACAAAATCTCATTCTAAAAATTTAATTAATTTATTTTTCTTAATTTATTATTTTCTTAATTTATTATAACACGTAAATACTTTCGACACTCCTTACTTTTTATATCATCCATAAAAAAAATCTTTATTAACCTCGAATAATAATTTCATCAAATTTTTCTCCACAAAAGCTCGTGAAAGAGCCCATATGCAATAATATTAATATTAAGAAAAAGAACTTAAAAAACTTAAATTACATCTTTCAAAATTCAATTCCACTCCACTTTCCTCTCTCTCTCTCTCTCTCTCTCTCTTCGCGAAATTCAATCGATCGTCCCATAACCATAATACCAAACATCCCCCCTTCTTACTTTCATTCTCTCATCCGTTTGTTCCCCCCCTGCTTAGAATTCAAGAACCGTTCGCCCTTTTCGACGAGCTGTACGATAAACCATGGCTAAGAGCTGGCCCCTACTTCGTAGGGATTATCACCGGTTATATCCTGTTCAAGACGAATTGCAAATTGAAACTGCCCCTGGTAAGTAATTGCACACCGATCCAGGGATAAACACACATTTTCTCTCTTCCTTATAGAACTCGTAATCTCTTCGTTCGAGGCAATTTATTTATTTTTTAAAAAAAAAAAAAAAGAGGGGGGGAGGGGAGATTCACGTTCAGAATGAAAGATCGAAATCGATTTTAAACAAGAAACACTGTTCCAGATCGCCCGGTTGATCGGCTGGGTATTATCCACAGCCATAATGTTCTCGGTTGTTTACGGCCTGTATCCCGGAAATTTAACCGTGCCATTGAGTTCCGTGTACGCCGCCTTAGGACACACCGCGTGGGCGATCGGCGTATCCTTCATCGTGATTCAATGCTGCACCGGCTCAGCCACAATGATCGACAGCCTGTTGTCGCTCAGGCTGATATATCCGCTATCGAGGCTGACTTACTGCGCCTACTTGGTGCATCCTATCATAATGTTGATCACAGCCAGCCAGATGGATGGCCCGTTGCATTTGCACAATGACATAGTGGTAAGTCGATCGAAGAGGATTTTGGAAGAAGATCGATCGATATAGAATATGAGAAATTTTCAAATTATCACAGTAAGAATTGAAAAGTAATAAAATTTCCAATTGATGAGATGAAAATTGAAGAGCTTCTTAGATTAGAATTTCTCTTCGTGAAGCTAATCTCGTTAATTGTTGAGTGAATATATATATATAAGATCAAAGAATATTAATATTGTTTTTTATATGTGTTTTTTTTTCAAGCTGATTCTATACTTTGGCAATCTGGTAGCCTCTTACCTGATGTCGTTCTGCATTTCAATCGCGTTCGAGGCGCCGGTAGTCAATCTGCTCAAAATCGCTTTCATCTCGAAGAAGAGGGTAAGGTAGAAGATAGAGAGAGAGAGAGAGAGAGAGAGAGAGTGCCATCGTGCGATCGACAGTGAGTAATGGATGACGCTTTTATGGATATTATTTAACAGAGGGATATATTAAGATTGACATCGATCGTTTCCCTACAGAAAATAATCGTAACCAAGGGAAAAATATCCTCGTGATGGGATGTTATGATGATATAGTTCATCTATGGACAATGCCTCGTAGCCGCGTGATTCGACGAGTTTGATTGCGTGCGAATTGCGATTGAATATACTTGATCCTTGGTCCTTTTGGTCGAAAAGTAAATTGTCTCTGAATCAATGTTGATTCCAGTTTAATTTATCGAGTTTCTAAGAGAAGAAATATAAAAGACTCGCCATTATTGAATTTTGAAAAGGGACAATGTATTTATCCATCCTTTATGAATGTTAATAAGAAAGAATTTTTTTCATATTTTCGATATTTTTGATTTTGATCGATAGTTTGTTTCGTTTAGGAATAGAATTTTGATGTGAGGAAACTTGGAAAAATATTTTTATATACATATATGATTTCAAACGTTTGATATACACTAATATATTCTTGTATTAATTGAAACGAAGAAAGAAATGAATAAAATATTTAAAATTGTCATTCTTTTGACATGAATATATATATGAAAATACGTAAACAGTGTATGATATAATTAGGTTGAGGTTTGGTTAAATTTTGACAGCGCCTGAGGGTTGTTTTGATCATATATGCAGACCAAATATCCAAGATGTAGATTTGGATCAACATTATGTTTAGATTAGATTTGCTTTTAGAGATAAACTTTTATAAAATGATGTACAAATATCAATGTAAAAATATCAGTTTCAAGGTACCAAGATTATAATTAATTATAATAAACGTTTAATGATATTTTATTATTTTTCAGAACGAAATAATTAAATATCTCATTAAAATCTATGAAGAAAACACCTTAAAATTAAAACATTTAATACTGATTTAAATCTAATATTGATCTTGGATATTTCATTAAAAAAAAAAAAACAAAATATATTTTCACCTTTCCTCGATCAATTATTTGCTCGAAATAAATCGAATTGAAAGACATTTTGAAAGAAAAATTTTAAATGATATTGCTAAAATTGAAAAAAAAAAAAAAAAAATTAACCATTACAGCGATATTTGTTCCACAACATAAATCAAACGAAATGCAAGAGTTGAAGAGTGATTACGTCTTTTGTTATAACATATAATGGTTCAAAGGCAAAATACTTTCATGGAAAAAAGGCAAGTGTTTAACGACGCGCTTCCTTGTTTCGTTTTCCACGTTCCGCGTCGCCAAGTTTTCTCGTAAAACATTTTCTCCGGAACAATAGGTCTTGGTCGTTATTTTATAGCATTCAAACGGCATTTATATATCGTTCATCTCGAACAGATGCGCCACGCGAATGTTTACAATAGAAACAATAAGAAAACTCGGACGGAACTTCGACAAACGAAAAGCGAATCGAGGGGAGAGAAAGAAAGAGGGAGGAGGAATCTGTGCCAAGTCGCCGCCGTTTCGCTTGGCCAATTTAAATGGGAGAAAGAATGAAATTGAAAATATGGGGGACGAGATCGTGGCTAAAGATGGAAATTTCTAATATTAATATAGATATTCGCGAGAATATCAAATTCCATTGGAATGGAAATATATTATTTGTACAGAAAATTGAGAGAAAACGTTTACAGAAATAAAATGTTGATATCATGCGTCAAATATTTTTGTGTGAAAAGTGTATGACAAGAAATAAATGGAAACAAGTTTTGCCATTTTTGTATCGAGAAGAATATAATTGGATGGAAGAGAAGATGAGCTGATATTTGCTCGACATATCGATTATATTGATACTATGTTGTAAGGTAAGCAAGTAAGTTCTGTCTTTTTTTTTTTTTTTTTCATGATAAAATAAAGAAGCATCTGTGAAAATGTACAATAATTTTCTACAAGTAATTGTTAAAATTGTAATTTTTATTGAATTATATTTACAATTAAAATTGTAAATTTTTATGCATATCTATTATATTACAGTAAAATCATAAAAGTGTTTTAAAAAAAGATATTACAAGTGAAAACTTCTTGCTCAATTCTCATTCTCTTTTGGATTATTATACATGATAAACTATCATTTGCAAAGAGAGAGAGAGAGAAATTGAAGAAGAATTTTCCATTTTCTTGATATCATTTATAAAAATCAGTATATATTTTTCTTTTCTCCCCTGTGAGATATTTCTTACATCTTTTTTTTTTGTTGTTACGACAGAACTTTTTTGTTTATCTAATAGTTCATTAATTAGCAATAATATAATTATAGAAAAGCTATCAGTTATGAGTTTTCTTTGAGAAAAGAACGAGAAAATTTTTTAATTACTTTTTAGTTAACTTTTGCTCGAAATTTACTATTTATTAATTACTCTTTTTTTTTTTTTTGAAACAAGTAAAAGATAACAATTGTTGCGTGTTGAAACATTTTTAATAAAAACAAAAGAAAAATATCCATATCGACAATTGTTTGCGAATGGAAAAATATTACCAGGATGAAAAAATGTTTTTACAAGGTATTTCAAATTTCTTGTTTGCAAAACTAAAAACCACGAACTTTAATTGATATTTCAGGTAAAGGACTAATAACGGAAAAATCGTTTCACGTTTATTCGCGTGACCATTTTCATTTAGGGTTTTGTGCCATTATAAATACAATGCGTTACAAAAACGTATATACATATAATTTGCTGATATTTAAATGTTTTGATCTTTTAATAAAAAATATTTTTATGTATAATTTTCATCTTCTTGTACACATGATAAAAAATAAAGATAACAAAAGAAATTTGTAATAAATTATTATACACGTATATATATATATATATACATCTTACTTTCTTCTATTTAAATATGACTAAATATGACTTTAAAATTTCGTCTGATTAAAAAATTTAATAGGATATTTAAACACGGAATTCACAGAATTTCCGATAATCGAGTTTCGAATAATTCTAACAAAGATTCTATCCTTCATACTTTTCCTAATATCGAGGAAAACTCTTCAATGTACTTTTCACAAGTTGGCCATTCCTTTCTTTCGCTTTGAACAAGCGTCCATTTTCAAAAAAAAAAAAAAAAAATAATTCTCAAAAGCAAATAACTCTCTCAATATAGAATTTCACTCTCGAATGTATTTATTGAAATAACTTTTTCTTTCCAATATTCGATCCAATCCACAAAAGTCTACTACGGTTAATTCTAATTGTACACCCGATAATTTTTTTCGATAATTTATTTCCATTTGAATTAAATGAATAATCTATACACGCGACGTCGTGATAAAAAATATCGTGCAACGCTGTTGAAACGGATATGATGTGATATTAATAAAAACAAAACGAGGAGAAAAACTACAGGAGAGAACAGCGTGTAAAATAATAATTCTGTCGTAATATCTCCGTAAGATCTTTGCATGGCGATTCGTGCACGGAAGCACACGATTAGTAATACAATTAACGTCCCGTCAATTACCCGCCCATATAATGTCCTGTTCACACGATTATCGCAACGAGACTCGGTTGTCTCGCGCTTGCATAATTTGTCGCATGCGCCACGCCACCACGCCGCCCCTCTCCCTCCCCCGCCCTCCCCCCCTCTCCTTCTGCAAAACTCTCCAGACGTGATCGCGAATTTCATCACTCGTATTACACCCCCTCTCCTTGCGAATATTCTTAGCTACAAGTGATAAAGATATTCTATTCTTCATCCAGTGATAAAGATACGCTTATCAGAAGAACTGATAAGATAAAGTTTAAGCTTTCTATTGTACTTCACTTAAGAGTGTTTTAAAGTTTGAATTCCCCGCTGATTGTCAATCTTTTTAATGTCTAATGTCCTTTTAAAGAGATGTCTATAAAGGTTGTGAGAAATTTTTTGGAGAGAGAGAGAGAGAGAGAGAGAGAGA